GCCGTCATTGTTGTTTTGGCGGGCCTGGGCTGGATTCGAACCCACCACCTTAGGTGTATGTGGCTGGCGCCTTAGCCACTTGAGCCACAGGCACCGAGCCTAGAGCAACTTTAGAGTGAAGCATTGTACTAAGCTGTCTAAAGAAATTAAATAGAAATCACATTGAAACATTTGTGAAAAATATTTAATAATCTACTAAAGTTGCACAGAAAGTACATTAACAAGTGCTGAGGATAATGTTGGAGTGATTCAAGTAACATACAAAATCAGGATTAGAGATACAGTTTCAGACATCAGGAAGAGGGGGTGGGTCTTGAGCATTTTGAAAGAGAAAGGTATTAGTTTAGTCCAAAACCAAAAGGAGTAACTTTGAGACGAGAGCATAGAAGTGACCTTAAGATTTGCACACCTGTCCTGTAGGCCAAAAATGATGTCAGTTATCTGGGAGAATAACTGAAAGATTTTTATACTTTGATAGCAATTGGACAGTTCTACAGATTTCTAGAGAGGAATTTTTAAAAAGTAGTTAAGAAGTTAGAGGCAGAGGGACTCTTGATGTAATTGGATGTGAAGTCATTAGAGCTATGATTGAATGTAAAGATGATGGGCCAAATAAAAAAATAAGTGAGGTTTATAAGCCTTGGTGGGACTATGAGAAGATGGCAGCCGTCAAGCACAAGGGGAAATTGAGTCAAGCTGAGGGGTTCTTATGAGGAAGATACTACATTCTGAACAACCAGCCCCCAAAATAAGAACAGACCTATCAAGAAGGTACAAGGATGCAGGCTAAGTTGAACGTGAAGACTTGAGAGATACACACTTAAAAAGGAGTGCCAGAATTCCTGGCGGAGAAGGATGTTTGCTGGCAGAAAGTGGAGGGGAGAACTTTCAAAGATGAAAGGTGGCTGTCAAAACCATTGTCGAGGTTAACAAGGACATGTCCTGGACATGGCAGTCAGAAAGGACAGTGTTCTGAGGTGCGGCTCCTGGCACACTAGTCACAACTCCTCTGAGGGTATCCTGAATTCTCCCAAATCCTCAAAAGTTACCAAACGCAGATAAGATGTGTTCCTCCCACAAGTGTAGCTTTGAAGCAATGTCTTCAGAGAGAGGTGAATAGGTTTCAAACTTCTGACCTTGGAAGCTAGAGTCAGAGTTGCCTCCTCCAATCCTGTTTGGATCAGTCAAGCAGTTCCCTTCTACCTCAGGAGGTAGCTGGGGCTTCAAACATTTCATTTCAATTCCAGTTCCAGGAGCAGAATGGTTGAGGAAAACCTCTGGCCTAGCTGAAGATTGGAAAGATTTCCCACTCTGACGCCTTGACTTGGCTCGCCTGTTCTGGAACCATACCTGGAAGAGGGCAGGAAAAAAAAATGCTTTGAGTTGGAGTTCTTATGCTAGTCTTATGTACATTGATCATAATAATAAATTCCAGTTTAACATCCCTTGGTTCCCTGCTCCAGAGTATTACGGTTTTCAGAAACCACTTTGGTTGACAGAAGTTCAGAGCATCTAGCTTTCTCTGCCTCACCAGTCTTGGATGCAAAATTAAAATAATAATGCTTTTTTTTTTTTTTTTTTGCAGTTTCTGGCCAGGGCTGGATTTGAACCCACCACCTCCAGCATATGGGGCTGGCACCCTACTCCTTTGAACCACAGGCGCTGCCTGATAATGCTCTTTTTTGTTTTGTTTTTTTTTTTTTTTAGACAGAGCCTCAAGCTGTCCCCCTGGGTAGAGTGCCGTGGCATCACAGCTCACAGCAACCTC